GCTCGACCCGGTCTCAGCCTGGCACCGGGGCCCGGCCTCCCACACATACTCTGTGGTTCCATCCCTGTCAGTGTCTAGAACAGGCAAAACTAAGCCATAGTGACAAAACTAGATCATTGATTGCCTGGGACAGGAGGTGGTGTGGGGGATTGGCTGCAAACGGGCACAAGAAGACATTTTGGAGCAATAGAAATGTTCTTTGCTCTTGAACAGGGTAGTGGTTGCCTGGGTGCATCCAACTTGTCAAAACTCATCAAACTTGAAATGGATCCATTGTATTATTTACAAATTACACCTTAAGACTTTTGGTTTTAAAAACAAATCATTCCAATTTTAGTGTCTGAAGTGCAATTAATTAGTATTAGCCTTGGAAAGTTCTTTTAGAAAACTATCACTCATGTAGTGAACGATCCCTCCATATTTGTTTTGTATCTTTTTCTTCCGTGAAATTCATGCCCTATTAAACTCAATACTTTCAAATAAAAATAGGCTCTATAAGAGCTCAGTTTTTTATACAAGAATATTTGTAAATACATCCTCCCTATAGATTTATCAAATATGACTCCATTAGTAATTACCTAATGCATACAAAATTATTTTTTTATTTTAAGCTGTTTCAAAATTTTACATATACGTATTTTGTGCATCATTTGCATTTTACCATTTGTGTAATTTTACCATGTATAGCTTTTGCAAAAAATGTAGAACAACTTAAAAATAGATTTGAAGAAAAATATGTAAAGATGTTAGAAGTAGTTAATTCCAGGTGGTGGCATAAGGATGAATGCTTACCTTCTTCTGTTTGTTTGTTTGTTTGTTTGTTTGATGCCCGAGGTGGGGCTTGATCTCAAGACCCTGAGACCAAGAGTCGCATGCTCTATGGACTAAGCCAGCCAGGCGCCCCTATTTTTCATAGTTTTAAACTTAAAAAATGAGTGTCCTGGAAGTGAAAGAACAGAATAGATATGAAAGAGGTGTGGGGTAGGTGAGAGGAAAACATGAAGGGGAGGGAAAACCTGGTTCTGGCAGGAAGTGTGTTTAAGTTGGAGAGTTTGAGGGAGCACTTGTGGGCATAAGAAGGGTTTGCGGGAGGCAGTGGGGTCATAAGGATGTTCGGATAGTTTGATGCGTGTTGCATGGTTCCTCCTAGGTGTTTTTTCAAAAGAATTTATATAGACGTAAATTTCTTGTCCAGCATTTTTAGCGGTTTTTAAAAGTAGGAGGCGTATAAACATTGTGGTTCTCAGCCTATCTTCTGGAGCCAGGATGTCTTCAGTCCAAATTCCTGCTTTCCAATCCCACTCACTGGCTGAGTGGACAGGTTGCTTAATCTTTCCGGATCTCAGTTGTCTTACATGGAAAATGAGGACAGTGATATGAAGTGGGCCTGTTGAAAGGATTCAATGGTTGACTATGCCTGGGACAGGGCACTGTTCGTACAATCATTGACTGGTATTGGGGCGCAACACTGAGTAAAGACTGGATGTGATGAGAACTGATTTTATTTAAGTTACAGCGGTGATACTTTTCAGTGGCTGTGGGCCCTCCTAGGGACAGGGAAGTACTGCTCTCTGACCAACCGTAATCTCCTGGGCTGGGCCGATCTGGGAGTTTATCAGCTCATCTGATCAGCTCAATCAATGGAGAATAGGAATTCAATTCCTTGCTTCAAAAACACCCCGGTAATACTTCCAGTTTAGGTCTGTGAACCATCGACCTCAAAACCAGAACACTCTCTCATATCACAAACTGACTCAGAGACAAAGTGTGCAATTACGGGACGCGCCGCGTGACGTGCGTCGCGGTGCAGGGTTCAGTGGCCGCAGCCCGTGGCTTTCACCCTGAGGCCTGAGGGTGAGCCCGACGAGGGGCGGTGCTGGCCTGCCTCCCCCCGCCCCCCGCCTCCCGCCTCCGTGGCTGCAGTGTCCGTGCGAGCGCGCTGCTCTGGGAACCCGGCTCGTGGGTCCCCGAATCCCGAGGAGGCGGTGGCGGCGG